CAGTAATGCCACAAAACAATGACAATAGTATTAATGACGATAACTGTGATAACAATATTGATAATACTTAAGATAATAATGATTTATCGGAATATTGATGTCAAGAGTGATATGGAAGTGATATGGAATGAGAGATAATGAAAAAAATAAAGACAGTGAGGAGTTGAGCATATAAATAAATGAATGATCAGTATTGTTGATAAGAGGAAGAGCAAAACTGAGGAAGTGTAACCTGTTGAGTGAAATTCGACGAGACGCCGATACGTCGATTTCGATTCGGTTCAATTTTACGGGATAGAATACCGAATTTTGGTGGTTCGATAACGTGAAAAATGAGTTGATGCGATTGAAAGTTCTTTGGGAATGTCCACGCGAAGAGATGTTCTCGAGTTAGCGTCAATTGATCACTGTTGTTCAACAGAAATGGAATTCGATTGAATATTTTCACGTGAACCGGAATGAACGTGATCCTGAACGTGTGCACAATTGACGTGGTGTTGCCTGCANGCTAGCTCAGTTTTGCTTTTTTATTTGTAATATTGGACATTTATTACTCTATTCTTTTATTTGTTTGCCAATTCAGTTGTTCAGTGCATAGATCTCTTTTGAATTTTAAAGTTTTAATCATTTTGGAAATCGATTGCGCTACATCAATTGAAAGTTTCATTTCAAACGCTCTACGAAGTGCTCATTTGCAGTTGCGACAATATCTTCGTTTCCGTGTTTAGAGTGAACGTATTATCAGAACAAGAATGGTCCTATTGTTCCAGGTCGATTAGATGCAACTCGAGCTAATAAGTAGGGATGGATCTATAAGTGAACTCTTATAGCAAATGTTCTCCCAACCATGAATATTCGATTAATTCCAAGAAAGTGACCTGAAAACTGAAGGAGTCCATCATGGGGTGACTTATGCCAGAGTGACGATACCGTATCCTCGACCGATCGATATCGGACTGTAAGAACGTCGAACAAATGCGATATTGACCAATCGCATCCGAGCATTCGACGATACCGTATTCGGGCAAATCAACGATTGTATACTGCACAGGGATATCGTCCAGATTCGTTTGAAAACTCAAATTTTGCGATG